AAAGAGATCTGGGCACGGAAACGTCCAGATGAAGTTAGCTACCTTGTCTTGCCTAAAAAACAAGGGAATATTAAAGGCCTAATCGGAATCAAGTCAAAGAACTCATAGGAACACCTTGAAGGTTGATCCCGTTGGCCAAAGACGCGCACAACTTGAGTCTCAACAAGAACCTGACTACATCGATTGAAGCACAGGATGTATACACATCACAAGTTTGTAATGATACTAAATTAAAAACAACCGCTCATTGGTCCACCTTTGGTGCTCCGCTAAGCACCATCTCATTATTCCAAAGTTGTGAATCGTGGACAAGGGATTATCCAACAGTATTTTCATGCTTTTCCATATAAGCCAACATATTTCAGTATGGCCAATAGCAAATGAAGATTTTTTTTTTCTTAGGAAGTACATACCAAAAGAGTGATAGAACTTGCAAAATTATAATTTTCTAGTTCTACAAAATAGGACCTAGACAACGATTACCATTCTTCCTTTCATCGCCTGGGTGTCCCTGCCTGCAGAACCAGATACCATGAGATGGAGTATCCCCCTGGTAGCCTGGTCTCCGGGTTACTCTCTCGTGCTGCTCGGGGGAAAAAGCTTTTGGTTTCAGGGTCAGATTTTGATTTACAGCAGCCATCGGCAGTTTTGTCACCATGGGTGAAGGGCTGTTTAGAGGCTGGGGCTTTCTGACATCCACACTTCACTAGATTCCACGCACACCTAGGAAGCAGCTGGGTGTATACCCTGGCAACAGAAACACCTTGGCCCAGAGCTGTCCCTTCCTAAGGCATTTTCTTGCAACAGTTTTACTCCCCTGTGTGTGCAGTCGAGGCGTTAACAGGTCATCTCTTGCAGATGCAGCTGTAGAATGTCTGTCACAGTTCCGTGTCCTCCTTCCCCAGTAGACCTTAGCATATTAAAGTCCCTAATAATGTGCTCTCCTTTCGGAAATAAACATCTGTCTCTTACCTTCTGTATGCTGGGGCCGTGTGGCAAAGGGAAAGACACTCACCTGGCCGGCTCAGGTGGGGCCTGTGAGAGGCAGGGCTGGGAGACCCTGCACCGAGGGTCCTGGTCCTGCAAGATCTAGACGCAGAGACACTGCACAGGCTGGCCCCTCCCAGTGGATCGGATTACAAGTGCTGGTGAATCACCATGGATGGCTGCCATGACTGCGTCCCGCCCCCCCCTATGATGTTGATAATTGACAACCAAGTGTGATGGTCATTCGGAGGTGGGGCCTTGGGGAAGTTAATTAGGTCATGGGGTGGACCCGTTACTCGGATGGATAGTGCCATTAGAGGCCTCCAGGACTCCCGTTGCTCCTGGAATCAGGTAAGTGGGCTCCCATCAGACATCGAACCGCCAGAGCGTTCATCTTGGACTTCCGGCGCCTCCAGACCGAGAGAAATAAATTTCCGATGCTTATAATCACCCATCTATGGTATTTTGTTTTGGCAGCGGAGCTAAGACAGTCAGGTACAACACTTCTTTCTTTCAGTGACCAAAGAGTCTAAGAAGAGTGACTTGCCCACAAGGTACACTGGTTGAGGCTATTTTTGTTATTACTATCACCACACACTTTAAAAGGTGGAGGCGAAGGTATTACGGGACTTCTTCTATCTTTGCACTTTATGCTATCTAATCCCTTCAAAATTAAAAAGATTAGGTTTTTTTTTTTAAAGTGGAGAATTTTTGACCCATTTCATCACCCTTCTGATAACACAACCACCAACCAACCAACACCAACCCATACCACCATATCCAACGTTTATTTTTATCTGAATACTCCTGGTTAGGTGAAAGGTACAGGTATGTTACAACTTGGGGGGCCTGCGTATGAAGATTGTGGTAAATGACAGTCCTTCCTCTCTGAGTTCTCCAGATTCTCTCCACAGGAAAACGAGACAGATTCAAGGAAAAGTTATTTCAATAGTACAAGGCAGTTTGCAGTGCCAACCTACATACACAGAACAGAAAAGTTGGGGGGCAAAAACACCACAAAGGATGTTTAAAATAGGGTAAAAAGGATTTCCGTTCTATTAAACCAGGTTCAGAGTATGTTTGACTTGATGAATCTTTCCAAAAGACATAAGCAATTCACTGAATTGATCAAAGTTGAAGAAAACACATTAAATAAATGAAATGATAGACTGAATGAAAGCAGACTCAATAGAGCAAGCCTCAGTAGAGGCAAAAAGGCTGTCCTTCTTTTGAGTAAGGAACAGTAATTCTCCTGCCCGACGCCTTTTAACACTGGGACGGTTGACCTTTTCTGCTTTGACTAGAACCGACCCGTCAGCTCCCCTGGGTCTCGACTTCGCCACACGTCCAACGCTGCAGATCCTTGGATTGTCCAGCCCTTCAAATTGGCAGGAGCAAGTTCTTTATAGTATATCTCTTGCAAGAGATCTGCCGCAATTGGAGCATACACAGAGGGCCCTTAGTTTTATTTACCAACATACAAATAAATCAGGCCGAGTTATCCAGAGCTGGGGATCAAACACCCCCCTCCAGTTTACAGATGAGGAAACTGAGCCCAAGGTGGAAGGTATCTTCCCCTGCACAATCTCCAATTCACCTGTTGGCTGATGCCTAATTGGAAACCAGACTACTCGGAGGCTGAGGCCAGGAGATCGCCTGAGCCCCAAGTTTTGAGCTTGCTGTGAGCTAGGCCTGACGCCACGGCACTCACTCTAGCCTGGGCAACAAAGTGAGTACTCCTGCCTCCAAAAAAAATAAAATAAAATATAATAATAAAATAGACTAAAATGCAATACCTGGGAAAATAATGCACGTGACGTGAATGCATATGACCAAAAAATATAACAACCTGATGAAATGTTCGAAGAGCAGATTGTGCTGGAGGAAGGCAGGATAAAAAGATAAATGTAGTCCCTACCCTCCCTTGGGATCCCTGATCAGGGAGTCTCCAGGAGATGTGCAGGAGCAAACTGCGAGTATGCAGAGTTTTTTTTTTTTTGGTTTTGGAAGTGAAGGAAAGGAGGCATTTGAAATGGGGAGACGGTGCGGCGGGGGCAGGGCAGGCCCACAGGTTCCCCATCCCTCATGACTGTTGAGCAGCGGCCAAGACCAACCTGTGCTAAAATGTCATCCTGGGAGGCTAAACAATTGCAGCAGGAGGGTGGATGAATGGCTGAGGTGGCCCAATCCTTAATTTTCAAGTGAGCTTGCAGAAATTTCTGAAATCCACTACTGTACGCAGTAGGCACTGCGTCTTTTTCACCAGTGGCATTTTTATGCGCTGCCGCTCCTGTCCTGGCTGCACGCGGGAGGTTGAGCAGAGTGGGCGGCGGGTGTTTAGAGCGCCAGGCCAGCCAGCAGCCTATTTTCAAACCCGCATGTGTAACTCTGTGCTTTTTGCTAAGTTTATGACCCGACGTTTTCCACTTGCGGTCGAGAAGTCTTTGTAAGAAAAAAACATGTTCTGCCAATCTGGCCTTACTGTCATGTGGTTTCCTACGAGAGCCAATGGCAACAGGCGACGGTGGTAAAGGTACTTGAAACCCCGTCGAGGGAGGTGGGGGGATATGTCCAGCTTTGGTGAGAAGACCCTCGGAAACTTGGGGGCAGTACTTCACTATCTGAGAAGTGCTGTCGCAGAGGGAGGGATGGAGCCTGTTCTGTGTTTCCAGAGATAGAATGGGGCTGGGACGAGGTCACAGGAATCAGATTCTGCAGTCAAAGGGGAATGATCTGCTCAGAGGTACGGAGCATGACAGGGGCAGTGCTTGGGTGCAGGGTTGTGAAGAAGATTCCAGATTAGCGATGGTTTCGGTCCCGTTACTTTTCAACACCTTCTAATCTGAGGTCCTCTGATAAGCTCTGTTGGACGATATTGGTTGCCAGAAGGTAGGGTCTGAAGACACTGAAGTATGACCATTCATCCAAACAAACGGTGTTGGTCGTGGTATAAAGCACTCTATTTAAGCCGGGCAGTGGCTCATGGCTGTAATTCCAGCACTTTGGAGGCGAGGTGAGAGGACACGTGAGCCCAGAGTTTGAGGCGTAGTGAGCTGTGATCCTGCCACTGAGCTCCCAGAAACAACAGAACAAGATCCTGCTAATACATACATACTACAGCCATTGAATTATACACTTTAAAGTGTTACGATAGTAATTTTTATTGATTTCTCATAATTTTTTTAATTATTTTTATTTATCTTAATTTTATTTTTTGAGACAGAGTCCTCGGCTTTGTGTCAGGCTGGAGGAGTGCCGGTGGCGTCAGCCTAGCTCACAGCAACCTCAAATTCCGGCTCAAAGCAATCCTTTCTGCTTCAAGCCTTCCCGACGTATGCTGGGACCTACAGGCATCGCCACCCATGCCACGGCCCATTTTTTCTATATATACTTACTGGCAATTATTCTTCATTTTATAGTAAAGACGGGGTCTCACCTTGCTCAGGCTGGTTCAGAACTCCTAAGGCTCAAGCAACCCCCGCCTCGGCCTCCCAGGAGTTTGCTAGGATTACGGTGTGATCCACCGCCGCGCTGCCACCATAATTTTTTAAACGTCTTTTTTTCGCTCTGAAGATCCCAGTCCATTTCCTGTTAGTAACTATTAAGTTTTATTTACCATTCCAAACATTTCCATATATCTGCATGTATTATTGCACATACATATATATGTACCCATTACATCCATTAAAAACACACCTTCTTTTTTTTTCGCCCCCATTAACACACAACACACACACACCACACACACCAACACACACACATTATTTTAGACAAAGTCTCGCTCTGTCACCGGGGGGGGGGGGGGGGGGGCGTGCCCAGGGACAGTGGGTTGTCAGTCTAGCTCACTGCAACTTTAAACTCCTGGCTCAAAGCAATTTTCCTTCCTTAGTTCACCGAGTAGCTGGACTACAAGTGCACAACCACCTAACGCAGCTAATTTTTCTAATTTAGAGACGGGTCTTGCTTCTTGCTCACTGGT